CGGTTTTCTGCAAAGAAATAACTATGTAATTTTAATACTGTACTTACTTACCCCCTCAAACATAGGCTCGTCCAAGGGCTTGTCGTCTAAATTAAACAACAAACCATTGCTCTTCCACCGGATAGCACACAATTTGTGAGAGTAAAATCTTGTCACCTCACACTTATAGCTACAGACGGAGCCTAGTTATTTTGCAGTAGAACTTTCACATTGAGTGGCACTACCATCATCGCTGCGATGTATCCAGCTTGGGCACTGTCCTCAGTCCAATTCCAACCTTCGCATGGCGGCAACTAGCTGTGGTGAGTTGCAGACGTAGTCTTGAACCTGAGACAGGGTCTTGCCATAGAATATGCCCACGTCCTCTGGCTCCTGCGTAAGTTCTATTGCAGTTATTAAGAATCTGAAATTTCGAAAATGACAAGCCAGCAACTTACCATCCTCGAAGTCACATTCATCTAGCCCTGGAACTCCTCTCAATTCTAGTTTGAAGAGGCCTGGGGCGGATTTTAATAGCCATGCAATACTCTGTTTCCGAATTAGAACTGGATGCAGCAACAGATTCCACCGCGCTGCTACTAATCTGAAGAGTCACTCGATCGCACCCATTAAGGGAGACCCATTGTAGGCTACGTTCACGGTGCTTGGGGAGGTCCTCAAAACTATTGCATCCTGCTAAAGCAAGGATGGATTTACACGTGATGTGGCAATCATCAAGAATTATGGTTCGTAACTCTTGGAGCGCAGCTAAACACGTCACCGATTCGCCAGTCAGTTGCGTAGGACCTCTTAGGTATATTTCGCGGATATCGCTACAATCTTGCGCAAGTTCCTTGATGGCCACGTCAGTGATTTGGCTGCAGCGACTTAGATCGATGGAAAGAAGGTTCCTTCCGAGCTTGCGGATGGCGTGAACGGCATCGTTAGTCAGGTTGCGGCAATTTCCGAGATATAGCAGGCGGAGATTCGGGGCAACTTTGACAATTTTCTGGATGGCGGCGTCGCCAAGGTTTTCACAAGAGTCCAAGTTAAGCCGGGCAAGATATTTACACTCTAGACTGCCAGGCAGCTCCACGAATGCTTCGTCAGTGATACGCTTGCAGTGTGAAAGCTGTAAGTCTTGCAGCCAAGTTCCATTGGAGAGGAGACAATTAACTGGTTTGCTGGTAATTTCGACGCATTCATTGAGTTGCACCTTGTGGAGACTGGGCGACTGCGAAGAAAAGCATTGACAGCGGCTTCCCGGACTTGTGTACATTCGAGCGCAAGTTAGCGAGAGAAGATTGAAGGTGTTAGCTGACGACATTACCGTTATCCTGCGGGCCGCGCCCGGGTACCTTACCATTGTGATGAAGCTGCATTTGCCAAAGAGGCCAATCATGCTCTCGCTGGAGATATTGTTGCAACCTATGAGGGCCAGCCCTTTTAGCGCTTTGCAGGTGTTGGCAATGGCATGCATGGATTGTCTGGTAATGTGATCAATCACTATGACAAATGTATAAATACTCAAGCTGTGGGTTCTTCTCTACCAAAGGCACCAGGCCAGCATCGGTCAGCTCCGGACAAGGCGAGAGGCTCAGGAATTCGAGTCCGGTACATCCGACGAGAGGCAGTATACTTTTATCATTGATCTTAGTAGAGACTGCGTTTAGCGTCAGCTTCCTAATGAAGTCCTGGTATGTGGAAAAAGGGGTCCCGCAGCTAAGGGCCTGGCAGATGGCATCATAGTCTCGTGGGTCTCTGCACTCAATTTGTTTCCACAGCAAACAGACGGTGGTTCCTGCCCATTTCTGGATACGAGCATGCAACGGTACCAATCTGCTCTCTCGTCAAGGTTGGCGAGGATGCTGAAAAGAATTTGGCTTGGTAACATGCTGATCGGCGTCGGCGGCCGGTATTGGCCTTCGACAAATACGTCGTCAGCGACGTGGACGTGGAATGCTTCGAGTCCTTTTAACCAGAGCGCGTGGATTTTTTCGGACTGTCCATAGTGGTAGCGACGGCGGAGAAGAAAAGGGGGGACGTCCTCCCAGAAGCGCTCCACTGTCTTGTGGTCATCATACAAGAATGGTTGGATGAGTCTGGACCATTTTCTCAGTCTGGTTTTTCCGATATGGTTGCGACATGACCTATTGCTGGCCTGTAGCTTGTATTTGCAATGGTCCCAATCACCATTTGCAGGACACGCGAGTAGAACCTTGGCCCACCGGATTCTAAACGCCGCCACCCCGGGAATCAGCCACGGAAAGGGATTCAGGAGTTCATTCCGCAATACAGATCCAATCTGCCGAGTGACGCGCAGCGCGTTGAAGCCGACTCCGGAAGCCCACTGCGATGACGAAGATGCCCCCTTCTATCAGTGCGAGTTAGCCCACAGTCCACATCTACGTGGTTTGATGTCAAGTAAATACCTGTTGAACCGTGCCGAGTAGCTTGCAGCCCAGGTTGTACGAGGCCGCAGCAATAATGTGGACTGGAAATTGTTCAAAAACGTCGTTGACACTGGCTATTATGAGAACGATTTCTACCGTGTGTGCAAGCGTGGTTTCCTCAGTGCCAGAGCCTAGAGGTCTATGCGCGAATGGCATCGGCGTGGGCCAGTGCAAATCATAATCCAAAATGCCGAGCACCTCTCTCTCTGCGTCATTCACCATCTGTTTGAAGGCACACCGCCGTCGTCTCGTCACTTGGGTGGCAAACCAAGACACATTCCGTATACAGTGTCAAACGATAATTCCGCCC